CTAAAGTATTTCATTATACATGTGTCACAAGAGAATGGTCACTAGCTTTTTTCTTCAAATGATATAAGTTAAATTCTTGGTATTAGTAAACATTAGAAAAAAGACCCACATATATAATTGATGTAGAAGTCCTGTGTATATGTCAATAAAGCACTGTTGGCCAATAGGGAAGCAAGATAGGTGGGACTAGGAGTCCAGGAAGACTCTGGGTAGGAGAAACACAGGGAGTCAAGATGTAACTGCCATAGGGATAAGAAGCCCAGAAAGTTCTCCAGTAAGAGAAACACTTAGACTAACAATTATGGAATAAATACTTAATTCAGAGCTAGCCAGTAAGAAATAAGCAAGGCCAACAGCTTCATAATTAATATAGCCTCCTGTGTGTTTATTTGGGACTGTTGCAGCTCTGGAACCAGGCTGGCGGGAAAGCTTCTCTCTACGCATAATGTCTGTGTGTAATCAAAAAAGAAAGGAAGGAAGGACAGGGGTAGAGGAATAAAGTGAAGAGGAAATCCTTTCCAACCAACAAAACTCAGCTGGTATCAAGTCAATTGTGAACAGAAGACTATTCATTGGGAACTAGAGAAAAGTGAACAAGACAAGTTAGTTTCTACACGAGTGGGTTTTGTACAATCAACACACTTTCTCCATAATTAGCACATAAGATCCTTCCACAATACCAATCACCATCTCAATAGGATTCCTCTGACTAAATCATTCTTGGCAAAATAATTTTAAGGTTCATCTGAAAAGTCAACAGGCAAGAATAATAAAAGTTTTTGAAAAGATGGGGTAATAAAGAGTCACTAGTTCACATATCAAAGAAAAGACAGAGAGAATAAAGCAGTTTGGAACTTGCTTAATGAATATAAAGAATAGATATGGAAATAGATATTTTAACATTTCAAATGCCTGCAGATCATAAAAAGTGGAGAATGGAAAGACTGATTATAATTCAATGATAGCTTTGGGATGGCTGATTAGGAAGCTGAAGATAGTATTTTGTGCCCTGTGTTCACACAACATGTGAAATAAGTCCACGTCCCCTTAGCAGCTAGCATCTGCAAAGCATTGCCCTCCCTCAGAGCAGTGGATGGGGAAGTAACACAGAGAAACTGTTCTGCAATACTTTTATTCTCACATAAGAAGAAACCAGAGCTTGGAGAAGTAAGAAGCAAATATTGCCTCACACTGCCAGCAAGTGCTAAGATTTGGAATTTGAAACTCATAATTTACCTCTAGATACCATGCATATCCTTCCCACCATACTATCCCCAATGCATTTTAATAGTACAATAATCAAAGTTGAAAGCACACATGTGTCCACATACAAATGTTTCTAACTATACTTCTAGGGATAAAGGAAAAGCATGTGCTATAATAGAGCAAAATCTAAGGAAAAGTGAATACCATATATAGTTGGTTTATATAAATTTGCAAAAAAATACTAAGAAGTCAAAAGCAACTAACTTTGGAGAAATGCAAATTAAACAACAAAACATGACTTAAACTGGCAATGCCATCCTTGTTATGCTATTTGTTGGTGACAGCTGTGGCATTTGCTGGTGAGAAAGAACAGCATGGCATTTCTTCAGGAGTCTCTCTAATTGTCCTAAGGAAGTGATCTGGACAAGGGGCAGGAGCAGAAGCTGTACTTCACTGTGGCTAGAGCAGCAGAAGAAAAATGGAGTCAAGAACAAACTATAGCCTGTGTAACTGGAGTGGCAATATTTTCAAGCAGGTCACAAAAGCCTGAAGACTCCAAGACAAGAAAGTTACCTGAACTACTAAACATTCTGATGAATAAGTAATGATGAATGCTAACACATTGATAAACTATTGTTAACTAATTTATAACTAATGAGTACATCCATGTTTACAAATCAGTCAGGAATAACATAAATTATGGGGCGAGCAGAAGTGGGTAAAAACATGGATAAAGTTTTCTGAAGGAATATGTCTAATAAACATATAAAAATAAGTAACAATAATTAAAATGGAAATGACAGTGGAAAAGATGACCTTGAGGATATCCAAAATGAACCAGAGTTTGGGAAAGATGTACTCGGGGCCAGGGAGATGTGTCAGTAGGCAAAGCTGCTTGCTGCCAAGCCTGACTAGTAACCCGAGTTTCATCCAGTTGAATATGTAGTTGAAAATGTTATAGCATGTTGTGTAAAGCAAATCTTGCAATAATTTCAAGAATAATGTGTCTAGCCTATGTTAGTTTCTCTTTCCATAATAAGACTTCTAAACACTGTGTTGATATAATACTATTTTATTAGCACACTATGTAACTACATTTCGAAGTTTGGCCATCCACAAGTCATTCCAAATGTTAGGCACTTCATGCACAGTCTGTTCCATTTACTTCAGTGTATCTAATGTGCCAGGCTCTTCCCAATAACCCTCCTTGTATTATTTAAAACTAATATAAACCAAAATTCCTAATATCTCCCATTTTGCTCCAACTAGTATTTCTTCTTTGCTTGCCTATGATTTATGCTTTTATAAAGCTGAGTTTCTGAGACGAATGAAAATTTGAAAAGCTGTCAACAGGCAAAAGTGGCCTCTTCCTGGGTCTGACTTGTGAAGAGTAGATTCATGGAAAGGGGCTGGGGTGAGCCTCTAGAGACTTGGGGTGACACCAGTGTGATCTTTAAGCTGTCACAGACACCTGTGAGCCTCAGCTTCATCATCATAGTGAGGGGCCTTAGAAGGAGCCCCTACCTACCTATTTCAAAAGGCTTGAGAAACAAAAGAAATATTCATTGTAGAGCTGAGCAAGCACATATCGTCACGGCCCTGAGGTGACTGAGGACTGCTGGGAGGGAGCTTCTCCCTGGTGGCATGGGAAATACTCATGGTCAGTCCCATCAAGGGGAGACCTCAGCATGGAACTAAGCAGAAGCCCACCCCAGTGCCCAGATTGCTACCCTCATCCTGCAATGTGCACGGAGTCAGAGTAGTGGATAAAGCAGGAACTGCCTTGTATTTGGCCTTTCGAGACAACAGCACATTTTCTCTTTGTTTGCTTTTATCGTTTGCCTTTTATTAATAATGGGGATTTTTTTTTGTTTTTCGAGACAGGGTTTCTCTATATCGTTTTGGAGGCTGTCCTGGAACTTGCTCTGTAGACCAGGATGGCCTCGAACTCACAGAGATCCACCTGCCTCTGCCTCCCGAGTGCTGGGATTAAAGGTGTGCACCACCAACGCCCAGCTATTAATAATGTTTTAATTTTACAAGATTTATTGTTCAAAACTTGCAAATAAGTAAAAACATTACCCATTGAAACTAGCCAGACCCAAAGTCTACACAACTCAATGGTCTTCTCTACAGTTAGAATCGGCATTCTGAACAGAAGCTGTGGAGCCTCACATTAAATTTTATATTTTCATTATCAAATATGTTGTATGTACTTATCCATCTTTTCAAGAAATTTTACTAGCTAGCTGGATGAAATAATGTGTTTCATTATGACACTTTGACTCATTTTTATAATAAGTAGTATTTTCCTAAGTCTACTGCTGTCCTTCTGGGGACAATGGCAAATGTAAACGATACTTGGAAATAGTCAATGTCTTTATAACGTTTTTATTCCATATATGCATTAGAAGACACTGAAATAATTAATTCTGTCCACACTGTACAATGGCAAGGCTGAACTGATTTACATGTCCTGCAAACCCCCAGTGTGCACACAGGGCCTAGTCCTGGACTCTTACACACTCTGCAAACCCCCAGTGTGCACACGGGGCCTAGCCCTGGACTCTTACACACTCTACAAACCCCCAGTGTGCACACGGGGCCTAGCCCTGGACTCTTACACACTCTTCAAACCCCCAGTGTGCACACGGGGCCTAGCCCTGGACTCTTACAGAGACGGCTTTGTCTTCTGTGGCACCGAACTCCTTCATGCGGAGAAGTAATAGCCTTGCTTTATAAGATCCCTTTCATAAGCCCAAAAGCAAAAGGATAAAAGTTTTTAAATTTAGCAGGGTGAGCTATCACACTCATATAATTTCAACACTAAGGGATGAGAGAAGCAGGAGTTCCAGGCCAGTGAGTCTGAGGCCAGCATGAGCTACCTACCAAGACCCTAAAAGCAAAAAACAAAACATGAACAGTGACAAAAAATTCAAAATCTGACCTTCAAAGAACTCATTTCTGTCTGTCTGTCTGTCTGTCTGTCTCTCTCTTACACACACACACACACACACACACACACACACACACACTTCAAAAGTGGTATTCATCTTAAAGACAAATAGTCTCTAGACTCATCGAAACAGCCCTTTCCGTCCTGTCAAACCACACTTGGCCGTCTCTGGTCTGACCCTCCCAAGCCCACCATGAGCCCAGGCAATCCCAGCACAGGCTCTTCTTGTGAGCACAGCTGGTTTCTTTATGTCACTGATGCACTATATGCCCAAGCACATGCTGTCAGCACCCTCTCGTTTTCACTTCAGTGATGTCCTATAATTGGGCATTGCCATCTGAGAATGCCAATATCTTAATCGTATTTTGCAAAGTGGATAGAGTTCAACACTATTCCACATGCAACATTCAAAATAATGTGTTAATTTTTAAAGTATATTTTTAAATGTAATTGGCTTTAAAATTTCCACTAAAATATTTTATCCAGAACTTTATTTAGCTGCTCAATATTGTTCTCTACTTAAGTTTAATAGCCATATTAAGCTATAAACTTTAATTGTTTGAATTTTCTAGGAGAAAATTAATTTTCTCATGTATTAAAGTAACAATATATATAGAAACATTGTTATGAGTGTATATGTAAAATATGATTTAAATAAAACTACTTGTTCCTTTGTCCATTTGTGTTTCTATTGCCCAAATTTCACAAGATTAATGGAAATCATCACAGATATTGCTTAGGGTCAGTCTATGAAAGCAAATACATACTCAACTAAACTTCAGAAATTTACTTTCCTGGAAAAACAGAATTTGAAGTTAACTTTGAAACATGGTCTTACCCTTTTCTTGGCCACCACAGCAGCTTTGGCACCTGCTTTGGTTCTATCTGCAAGATAGTATAATATGTCTACTTTAAAAAAGAGCCCATCCTCCTGTTCCAATAGATACACAGGTACAAAACCAGCATGTTTTACTTTAGCACACATTAGCAACAGGACTGTTTTCAGTGGCCCTTTTAAATAAAAGCTAATATATTCACCTCCTCACAGTTGAGTGCAGCTCAGTAGTCCAAAAGTCACAAAGTCTGGAAGGAACTCTTATCTGATGAATGTCCTTTACATTGTATTTGTTAGCATTAAATCTGCCTACTTTATGGTTTCTGGCCAGTCTGTGCATTCCAGTACACAGACTCTAGAATTAAGTCCATGGTATCTCTACTTGCACACCTGTTATATGCTAAACACTAGAATAGGAATATCCAGCTAATCTGCATAACAGTTAATCTACATGTCATTTAATCTATATAATATTGCATCTTCCTTGTTCAACTGAGAAAACCGATATTCCAGCACACTGCCTGTGGTTGCATTGGCAAAGTAGATTTGATTACAAGCCCCTAGTCTGCCCAGGGTGTCTGCTGCCTCCATTTGGGACCACTGAAGTAACCAACATTGTCTCAGATAAGATTCCATAAGAATATGGACATTGGTACTATTTCTCAGACTGCTACTGACACCAGAATATTTAGTAACCAACTAGCTCATGGAAAATACTCCATGTAATATTTTGGTATATACAATATATGTATGTGCATATGTTGGTAACACCTGACAGAGAATAATTCTTCTTTGAATATGTGGCCAGAGGTAGGTTTCTTATGCCCAGTGGATGGCCCAAACCCATGCACCTATGGGCAGCACTAATTGGACATAGTGGGTTGTTGAAAGAAAACATGTTAAAAGGGAGAAATGTTGGAACATACAGGGGCAGTTGGGGGGATAGGGAATGTATGTGCCATATGTCATTGTACACATGTATGACGTTATCAAAGAATATTAAGAACTGACAGAAAATGAACACCCAGGGAAGTGTGTTGTATTTATACTTACCACTGGCTTCCACATGTAGAGTGTCCTGCATCCCCCTAATGTTTAAGGTAACCCTCCTCCAAGAAAAACCATTTTCCTTCATTCAAGAACACACAAGACTAATCACCATCACAGGTGATTCCTCCAACTAGAAGAAATCCCCACCTCTTTCCTGATATTTTGCATGTGTCTAAACATTAAGAAAGCCTGGAATATGTGGCAAGATTAACAGAAGTTGGCATGCAGTGCTGTTTAATATCAGGCGTGACCTCCATAACACTGTGACTCTGGGCTTCCTCAACTGTGGCCAGGTTCTGGTCAGGCATGTAAGGGCTTTAAGAGTTGCCACCGCATCTCATTATGTTAAGAGCTAAACTGAAAGTCCATAATTAGATCCACCAAAGAAAAGGGGCACACTTATGCTCCCAAATCTGGAGAAACTGATCAATGCAGAGAGTTATGATTTACCTGAGCAGAAACATGTAGACAGACTCTTACATGACAGCCAGTGTAGGGGTAAGGAAATCTGAACCCTAATTGGCACACCCCTGGAGATTAAATGTGGACAAACCTGTGAAACAAAACCCATCATGGGCAAGGTAGAAGATCTGGAACCCTGTGAGTTCTTCCTCTAGAGAGCCACCGACTTCTCATAGGGAAGGCCGGAGAAAACTCACCCAAACATATGGCAGAGAGAAGGGGGGAAAGACCCACATCCTTGTCCTTGAGAAGACCGGCCCACACAGAAGCTGCATTACTACTGTTCAGTGCAGCTTGATTTTCTCAGAGCTGCACTCATTGGGGGGAAGCAAAACATACAGCTGGGGCCCCCTGTGGTTATCCTTTATCACTTAAGTGAATGAAGAAAGAACATGGGGAGGCTTCTTGTCAAGTTCACAGCCTAGAACTGATATCTATTGCTAGGACTACAGAATAATGCTCCCTCAACCCCACACCTTAGCACTGTCCAGAGGACTAAAGGCCGAGCCTACAGTCCGTGTCACCCAGTATACCACACCCACCTTTCAATAAAAATATGTCATGTTAAAAGTCAAAACCTAACAACTTTGAAGAGAGATGGAGAAATGAATGGGTAGATAGACAGGCAGGCAGACAAACCTATATGGCAGGCATGGTAGATCTGTTAGACAGTTAATGTGAAATATTTATGATTCTCATTCTAAGAAACTGAATGTTAAGAGCCAACAACATCAGAAGCAGAGAAGTGACGCAAGGAAGCATGAGACTTCTAAGAGTAAGAAAGAAATGCAAGGGATGGAAGGCATTGTAACAGAATGAAGGATGCTTTTGTATCCTCCTCGGTGAGCAGGATACATCCTGGGGAATGAAGCTCTGGGCCTGAGACTATATTAAGAGAAACTGACCAAAGTGAAGTAAGACAGAAACAAAGAAGGAAGGGAGGAGTGGAAGGACGGGATGGTGAGGAGAGAGAAGTGAGGAAGGTTAGGCGGGCCGGGCATGGTGCTGCGTTCCTATAACCTCCACATATGTAGGCAAAGGCTGGAGTATTGTCATATAAATAAATAACCAAAGGCCAAAAGACCTGCGAAGACACTTCAGCAAAGAAAACACAAAAGAACAAGTGTGCATATGATAGTATTGAGCACCAGTGATAACCAGGGCCCTCAAAAATCACATGAGGTGACACCACTTTGGAGAATGTAAACTGTAACACAATACTGAGAGCATGCAGAACAACAGGAATTCTCAGCCATTAGTAACACAATGTTGGCAATCAGTGTGTTTTCAACAAGGCATCAGTACACATGCTTCTTCCTATTGCTCAAGGGGGTTGAAATTTCATGGCTACACAAAAGGACATTCATCAGCAAGTATTCAGATGTTCCTAGTTAGATGAATGGCAGGACCTGTGGCATGCACAGGAGTAGAATATTACTCTGCACTAAGAAGGAATGAGCTATAGACTCATGCAAAAACAAAACAAGCATATGTTACTATAGGAAGGAAGCTGATATAGAAGGATGATTTACTTATGATTCCAATCATGAGACGTTCTGGAAAAGTCAAAACTGTGGAGAATGTGATAGGAACAGTCGCCAAGTGTTAGCAGGGAGAAGAGATGAATAGCTAGGACACCAGAATTTTTAAGTCTATGACATCACTGTATGAAGTAGGACAATGAAGAGCACATGAGATTATACCTGTCAGACACAGAGTGGGAACCTACAGTGAACCCTCATGTACACTATGAACTCTAAAGATAACTAGGATGTGTCAGTGTGGGTCCACTAATTATAACAAATCACATGGTGAGTTCTGAGTGGACAGAAGGCATGTGGAAACTTAAACCCAATTTTTGTGAACCCAAGACTCTTCTAAGCATGGAAGTCTGTTTTGTAAAAGCATGAGTAATTCTAGGGAAAAAGTAGAGGTAGGCAAATCTACCCCAAATGTAGAGCACAGGGTTGAGCAGGTAGTGCAGTGGTAGTATTTGCCTAGCAAGTGTAAGGCTTTTGGTATTTGATTTACACACACACACACACACACACACACACACACAGACACACACACACGCACACAGGCACACACACACAGGCACACACACATAGAAAAAGAAATAGAGGACAATAATCAAGTTTTCAAACTTCAGTAAGGGAATTACTAAGTTGGGCTATTAGTTAATTAAAATAAACAAACAACAAAAGGTACGATTAAATCAGAACCTTAAATTCATTGAGTCCTTTATACATATCATCTAATGACCACATACATTCTAAATAAATAAGCTGCATCAAAAACAATAGAGTGTCAGTTGTTACAGGTAAAAAGAACATGAACAAAATATTTAATGTAATTAGTTCTAGGCTAGAGTATGAAACCTTCAGAAAAAAATCCTCCAAGTTGCCTCTGAGCAACTTGCCTATAGTGAAATATCTAAATGTAGGCTAACCTCTGAAAACTATTTCTGGATACAATAAGAAGCTAAATACTATACCGTACTCCACATTGGATGCTAAGCACATTTGGAGACTGAATCAACTATCTTTGAGTTGAAGCTGCAGGCCTAGAAAAGCAATCCTGAGTTGGCAAAGACATAACCTTTAGATATCTGTCCTTACCTCCCACACTGGCTACTTCAAGGACAAAAATGATGTCCTGAGGTCATGGCTCTCAAAAGTCAGGCTGAGTTATATCAAATTCTGCATATAAAAGTCACCAGACTTTTAGCACGAGAATTCACCTTTGCTACAGAACCAACCAGAGAATCACTGTACGTGAGGTTCTCAGGGGAAATGTCAAAGGACAGGAGACAAGTGGCTCAGCATATTGATGACCAAGACAGTCCAAACCACTGAGAGAGCAAGTCAGCCCCAGTGGAAAACACGTATCACCCCTTCAGCTAAGTGACTATGTTATTTAAAGGTGGAAAGTTGAACGAGAACTGACTGCACACAGACAGAGCTGTGCTGTGACAACACAGCAAGCTGGACCTGCACTGCTAATGAATGGCATTGTCAGTATAAGGAACGAGCCACATCTGCAGTAGTCAGTGTCTCTGGTGACCATAGCCGCAATACTTGCCAGCCGTGTTTTACTTTTTCAGGCCAACTGAATGACTTTAGAGCCTAAACTTAGGTGGATAGGTGTTTAAACCTTTTCTCAAATCAAAAGCTCTATACAAATTTACTGGGAATATTCATGACACTTTTCCAATGGAGAAAACACTTCACTGTTACTGTAGAGTCCACAAAGGACCCTGCTTTCAAACTTAAGGTAATAGACATAAGGCTGTGTAGGCTATAAAATTACTGCAATCACTGCACAAAAATATTTCAAAACATTTTGAGTTTATTATAATTATTTCATGGAACAATCATAATCTTAAGTGTGCTGTGTCAACTGAGCCATTCAAGTGAGTGAACTTAAAGGCTATACATGATAAACCGTAACATGTATGGTTTAAGAATGTTTCCTCAAAATGACCTGATGTGTTAGCTAAAACACCTGATACATTTAAATGCATCATGAATATGCTAGGTTAACTTTGAAAGCATTATATTATGCTTGTAATATAATTTTAAAAGCAGCTTGAGGAGGTTACTGATACTGCCCTTGGTTGATCACCGGAAGCTGATGGTGTAAGAACCTGTGGCAGAAGATGCCACCTGCTTTGTTCACAGGACTTAGAGAAGTCAAGTTGGCACCATCTCCCAAGCCTCCTTCCCTTAAGGCCAGCTTTTAAGAGAGCTGTGAGGTGCTAGACTGTGAGACAAAAGATACCAACAGTCTTGCCCAACTGTGAACCTGTGGACTCCCCTGGCGATGTATACCCATTGGCATAATCCCAGCATGCATATCTTAGGCGATAACCACCAGGATCTGATTGGATTTAAGGCCTGCTCAACAACAGGAAACCACACCTGGTACAGTAAACCTGGGCAAAGACTTGCAGCTGGAGAGGTCACAGATCGGAGGGGGGGGGATCTACTACTGTCATCTGTTAAACTGACATGGTTTCCAACTGCTTTCCAAACACACCCACAGATCAGTCCCGCTCTCCGCTGAATCAGAGAAGCTTTTTTTTGTAATAGAGGTTAATAGAAAGAACACAAATAATGCAAAGAATAAGCACTGTGGACCCCTTATCTCTGAAGGAGACATCTATGTCACAGTCCCTCCCGCAAAGCTCAGGAAACATCATGAACAAGGGGGCAGAAGCAGAAAGATTTACAGATGATTGCTATAAAACAGTGTCTTCTGGGTGTGACAGGAAGCTGTTCCCATAAACTCTAAACAGTTGTGAGCTTGCACAAGACTTGCACAAGATTAGCCTAGCGTGGAGTTGATGGATCACAAGGCCTGGTTCCTAGTTTAGAAGCCACAAGTAACTGACAGATTCCAGGAAAGATAAAGTTAGTTTTGTGAGGACAGAGCCTCTAGTAGCTTGCTAATACTGCAGTGGAAAGCCCTAAATCTCTGTGCATGTAGACAACACTAACTGACTGTGTGTGTATACTAAATCTCTGTGCATGTGGACAACACTAACTGACTGTATGTGTATACTAAATCTCTGTGCATGTGGACAACACTGACTGTGTGTGTATACTAAATCTCTGTGCATGTGGGCAACACTAACTGTGTGTGTGTGTACACTAAATCTCTGTGCATGTGGGCAACACTAACTGACTGTGTGTGTGTGTATACTAAATCTCTGTGCATGTGGACAACACTAACTGACTGTGTATACTAAATCTCTGTGCATGTGGACAACACTAACTGACTGTATGTGTATACTAAATCTCTGTGCATGTGGACAACACTAACTGACTGTGTGTGTATACTAAATCTCTGTGCATGTGGGCAACACTAACTGACTGTGTGTGTGTATACTGAAGTTGGGGGGGAATGGGAAGGAGGGACCTGGAAACCTGGAAAGAGTTAGATCATAAGAGTGAGGAGGAACTTTCATAAAAGTAAAATACAGTCATGTATGAGGGAAAAATAATTTAATTAAGAAATGTTTGTGAGCCTGTGAGATGGTTCAGCCAGTAAGGGCGCTTGCCTTTTGATGTGAGTTGGATTGACCCCTAGGTCCCACCTGATAGAATGAGTTAACTGATCCCCTAGAGTTGTTCTCTGACCCATAGGCACACCATGATGTATCCACAAAAGATAACAAAGACAAAATGAAACAACTTAAAATTGTGAGTTACAGATCACCCCTGCTTTGAATTTATTTTAAAATCAAGCATCTTAAAAACACTCTATTCTCAAAAGCAAAGCAAAACAAATAAAAACAATCTAGCACAGCCATATAAAATTATCATACTAGGAATACATTGTAAATCTATGGTTCCTAATTTTTGAGTCATATGTTTTGAAATAATGGTCTATGCAGTTTGGGAGTAAATAAAATACCAGGAATCACTAATTACAATGCCCATGTTTAAACAGAGTTTAGTCATTGAGAATAATTTTGGAGGACAAGATATTGCTGTTAAAATTCTTTTACAATGAACAAAAACCACATAACCACATTTTTATATGATGAAAAGATGCAGATTTTAAATATGCACAGGTATTTTAGAAAACACGCATCCAGGAGTTCTGATTGGAAGGTGAGAAGGAAACTGCACGTACCCTGATTTGACAGGCAGCACACTTGTAGCCTTTGCTCAGGAGAATGCCTGTAGAGTTGGCACGCCTCCGCAAGGGCACTTCTATACCACCTCTTCTTCTTTCTACATTCTGCTGCTGCCTATATGAATGCATAAATTCAGATAATGGAGAATGCTTAGTCTTAAATGGTAATTTTGTTTTAGCATCTATACTTAACTACTTGCTGGAACTAAGTTTAATTTGAGTACTCTATAATACTATCAGTTAGACCTTTCGAAACTTAGCAGTGTTGTGAGAATCGTGCAAGTTAATAACCAGTTCACTAAGAGGATATAATGCATCTCACAGGATCCCAGGGTAAGCAAGAAGTCAATATGAACACATCTGACTGGGGTAACACTAACCTCACTTTATGTGACAGAGAATGATACCAGAGTGGTAGAAAATAACAAAGCAATCTTTATCGTGTAAAAACATTACATCTATTTGCATTCAGTTTGGTCATTGTGGCAGACCTCCATACACATATACACCTCTTACGCTTCTTTACTCCAGCCTCTGCATGTATATAATATCGGAGTATGAGGAGCCAACACCTGAGTGCTCATGAGTATTATGTGCGACAATAGATGGTGGTTTTCTAGAATAATAAGAACTCAGTGTGTGTTGTTCTAATAAGACACAGCACATTTTCTAAGTGTTTAAAAAAAGCTGAACAAAAGAATCTGAGTTAAAAATATCAGTCATCCAATACAGAATTTTTCCAAAGTTTCTTAATTGCTAGGGAAAGTTTTAATGTCTTTCAATATTACAATTTATAAAATGTATGGCACAATTTCCATTTTGAAAATGTCATCAAGGAGAATATAGATATTTATTCTAATAATACATATTTACCACCTATGCATAAAGGTCTTAGGCTTGTCTCTGATAAAAGGGATAATGCAATATTTGCACAGAATTTTCAACTTCTACAACATTCCCTCTCAACTCACAGAATGAAACTGAGTACAAAGCCCTTTTCAAATGCCACATTATTCTTGCAATCTCCATATTAATATCAACTTGTGCCCCAACTATGCCCAATATTCCAGAATTAGACTTAACTATACAATGTATATATTTCTTAATGAAGAAGTGTCAGGTTTGAGGTCTAGTGGCTCTGAATGTGCCATTCTTCTCATTCCTGGAACTCTAAGTCAACCATGATTGATGCTATTCTTCTAAAAGTATAGAATGCATTTACAAGCACTTCAAAAAGTATAATGTTTATTTTACATCAATATCAATGAATATATACACTTTCTCAATTTTCTCTCTGATTGTATAATTTATTGATTGATTCAACATAATGTAGCCCCCTAGAATCTATTAGTGAGTAGACAAAACTCACCAATGGTCTGTTGTGTGAAAAGGAACATGCCAACACCAGTGTGTGAGAAAAAAAGTTCACATGGCAGGAGGGAGTAAGGGAAATCATCCATGCTGAATGAGAGAGGAGGATGGTCAGAGGAACGCACTGAAATGGTGACCCTTAAGCATAGACTTGAAGAAGGTTGAGAGTTAGCCTTTAGCTATCTGAGGAGGAGATGTCTTCTAAGGTAGAACACTCAAGATGCATCAAAGAACCCAGAGTGACTGAGAGACAATGATGGAGACTGAGGGTCTGAGAATTACTCAGGGCAGGTTAGGGAGGCCCATGAAGCAGCACAGGTGTTTGGTTAGGATGTGACGTGAAACAGGAGCCACTGCAGAGCTCTGAGGGAGGCGTTCCTTTGTTTGAATACCCAGCCCTCCTTTTCCTTTGTGAGACATGGTCTCACGACATGGTCAGAGCTTGTCATCTCCCTGTATCACTCTGAGCACTGGAATTCCTTGTACTACCATACCTGACTTCGTTTCATGCCCCCAAACAATCATTATCACTACTTTGATCAAGTCAGGTTATGCAAAGGTATGTGTAGCTGGGGGACAGCTGCTTAGCCAGCTACCACAACAGCACAGGCAGGAAACCACAGTCATGTGGACCAGGGAAGTCACTTTTGAGTGTGTGAACTCTATGATTCCATTACCTGTCAAATTAGCTTAGTAACATTAGTAACAAACTGCTTCAACTGTCAGAGTGTTTTATCATTTATGCCTTGCGCGATTCACAGGCTTGATACCACACTCTTGATTCCACTTCCCTACAAACACTAAACTCAGTTTGCGATGCCTTTAAATTGAGATTCTGTTCACATTGATTTAAATTGCCGTCCTGTGAGTTAAACCGTCCAAACCAAAAGGTGGATTCTGTATTTCCATTTGCTTGAGCTGATTTTCTATCTTTTTGTAAGACTTTGGATTTTTACTCAGTAGGCTTGATACACTACTTCTCACACTTACTCCAGGGCATTTTATAGGATTTGATGATATAAAAAATGAGCATTGTGATTCTCATTTTCAAACTGTTCACTTTTGTATAGCAATATTAGCTGAGACATAGCTGAATTTTCCTATTTTAATAGTTTTGTATTATTTATAAAATCTTTGTTTATAACAGATTTTCTATTTGGGTTCCACTGACTTTCCAGGCATATAACCATGCTAAAAGCATCATTTTGGAGCAGGAGAGATGACTCCATGGTTCAGAGAGCTTGATGCTCTTCCAGAGGACCCAGATTGAATTCCCAGCACTCATTTGCACTCACACAGTGACTCACAACTGTTTGTAACTGCAGTTTCTATATACATAAAATACAAAATTTTTAAAATGTCATTTTGTTTTTTGCTTTCCTGTATATGTAATTTTGTTTCCCTTTTGGCTCATTACACGAACGAATAGAATACCACAATATTAAATATCAGTACATAGGAATCTAACATACTTTTTAAATATCCCAGCTTCCTACACAAATGATCAGTTTCTCCTCTAGCAACAAATGAGCTTTTGAGGACATGAACTTCATTGAATTATTCTGTAGAGGACTTCAGAAACAGTATGTTTGTAACCATCCTTGCAAACCACTCTCCTAGACACTGTTATAATTATTCACTTGGAATCTTCCAGGACAAGGCTTATGGATTGTCAAAAGAGGCCCAATAGCTCACTAAATTGACTCATTCCACAATGAACAATATGCCTGAATGTATTGCAGTGGTAACATTGTGATTCATTTTAATTCAAAAGACTCATCTCAATAGTGTGGTGCCATAAACCTTTGATTGCAGCATTCAGGAGGCAGAGACAGGTGGATCTCATGAATTCCATGCCAACTTGATCTACACAACAAGTTCCAGGTCAGCCAGGGACGCACAAAGCAATCCTGTCAAATAAAATGTCCTCCAATTACCATAGCTCTCACAAAATTTCTTAAAACGTGTTCACTCACATGTTCGGGAAAATTCCAAATTTCTTTTCAAGTCCCATACAAGAAGCGTAGTTCAGGCTGCCAGTGGCACTCCTGGTTCTCAGACCTCTCTTCTCCCTAAATTTCCTGGTCCTTTGGTGTTGAAATGCTGGTAGAAATCGATTTGCTGAAGGATATGGAGGCAGGAGGATCACGAGTTAGAGGCTAGCGTGGGCTACACATTTAAGAAGGTGAGGAGGGAAGTGGGGTGGGGAAATACATATCTCAATAAAAATATTAATAATAAAAACATTGATGGGATAAAAGAAAAAGAAAATTTTACATCTAAAAAAGAAATAGAAAGGAAGCTGAAGAAAATGTTCTTGTTGATCTGCTATTATGGAATGTTATAGTTGGTACTTTGTAGGCTTGAAGACATTTTATTTTCATGGAGTTTTATTTTTTAATAAATTTATTTTTGAGATTAACTAAAATAGTCACATCATTCCCACTTTCCATTTCCTCCCTCCAAACCCTCTCATGTACCCCCATCCCATTGCTCTCTTTCAAATACATGAACTTTTTACCTGAGAGAGAGAGAGAGAGAGAGAGAGAGAGAGAGAGAGAGTGTTCCTAAATATAGAAATATACCTGCACACATGTTACTTGTATGTATATATTTTCAGGGCAGACCACTTTTTCCCATTCAGCATTCTTTAGTTGCCTGTAGTTGTTAGTGTAGGTTTGAGGCCTCATGAAATTTCCCCTTTCTATGTAAGCATGCCTATTTGTGTAGTCCTTGATCAGGTCATATTCAGGCAGCCATGCTGTTGAGACTTGAAAGATGTAACTTCATAGATGTAACATTTCTAGGAGACACAATCTCATAGCAAGCTCCCTGTTCCTCTCACTCTTAGAATCATCCTCCCCCTTTAATAGAATGATCCCTGAGTCTTAAGTGCAAAAGCTGTGTTGGAGATGTAGCCATTGGTACTAGGTTCCACAATCTTCATTTTTGATTGGTTGTAGTGTTCTGCAATGATCTTCATCTATTGCAAAAAGCAGTGTCCTTGATGAACTGTATGTATCTGTAACTATAGGGATAAACGTTTATCATGTAGTTAGAGATTATGCTAGGTTGGTAAAGTGATGGATGCAGTTTCCCATCCAAAGGTGATGGCTGCAGTTTCCTGTCCAGGATCTATGACTTCAATAGCTCCAGGTAAATGGTTAGATTTCTAGTATCAGGCATGATTTCCCTCTTGTTGAGCAAATCTTAAGTCCAATTACAGAGATATTGGTTCCCATCAAAGTGTTGTATGCCACTACTGCACACTTATGGTTATTGGGCCATATTGATGACTGTAGTTTATAGGCATCATAGCTAGGTAAGATTATTGATTGATTCCCTCCTTTGTAAACTTGCATGGTATCTTCTGGTATCATTAAAACTATTCCTTAAAAAGGAGGCTTTCAGATCCAGCTCGGGTATCTGGACCCTGTGTCCAAAGTGAATTATGTCCTTGGCAATAGTAACTTACCTTGAAAAAATTTATTTATCTCTTAATTACTTTCATATATTTTGATCATGTTTTACCTCTCCAACTCTTCCTAGAATTTATTCATATAACTTCATGTTCTCTCCCTCTCTTTCAAAAACACACAAAAAAAGAAAGAAAAGAAAATCAGACCAAATAATCAAAAGACTAATGAGTCAAAAAAAATGAAAACAAAACAAAAAGTCCACAAAAACAAATAATGAAGTTTGTTTGTGTTGGCCAACTAGTCCTGTTGATGAGGCCTGCCCTGG